CACCGGCGCGTCAGGCGCAGAGGTCAAAGCCACGTGCACCGAGGCGGGCATGTACGCGCTACGCGAAAGACGCGTCTACATCACGCAGGACGACTTCGAGATGGCCGTCGCGAAGGTGATGCAGCACGATGCGTACAAAAACGTCACGCTCAAAAAACTGTTTAAGTAAACGCTACTTTTCAATTGGATGGATGTACGCTAACTTCAGCTCTTCGACGATTGCTTGGTTGAAGCGCTTGAATCCGATCGGCTCAGAGTGTTTCGCTTTGTCTTTCACTAAAAACTTGAAGGCGTTAAGCAGTACGCTCAGGTACTTTGACGCCCAGTTTGGCCGCTTCACGACGATGTTCCGGTGCGCCGTGTCCGCGAGCACGCCGCAAAGTACGAACAGCGCGAGCCCCACGAGCGCGAACGCGCCGATCGTGAAGAGCCGGTGGCTGTTCAGCGAGGCACTCACCGACTCGTTGAGCCGGTAGCTGATCGTCACGAAGAACGCAGCCATGATGAAGCAGTACACCGAGAGGTATACGAACATGTACGAGATCGCAGTGCTCGCGAGCGTGCCCGCGCTCTCGCTTGTGGTCTTCCACACTTCCATCACCATGTTGTACTTGTCTGTCCAGTACTTCAGGCAAAAGAAGATGCTGCCAATCAGCGGGATTAGTGGAAAGTCAATGCAAAAGCACAAACAGACCGCGTAGAAACTCAGGTGGAACGCGTACCAGAAGCCGAAGTCAAAGTCCCACTTGGCGAAGTGCGCTTGTCGGCGGCGCGCAATGCCCATGCGCACGAGCATTGGCAACTGCATAAGCTGCATTGCGGTGTTCACGAACGTGGTGTTTACGACGTACCGCAGAATGAAGCTGCCGCTTGCGCTCGTTGCGTTCGAGGCAATCTGCCGGATGAGGTTGCGGATGGACTCGTTGCTGATGTAAACCAAGAAGGCTTGGATCGAGGTCGAGCCAACGATCGGCAAAATGATCACATTTGTGAACATGTAGAAGACGTTGAATTGCAGCACGACTTTGTCGCGCGTCGAGCGCCGCCAGAACAAGCTGTAGTCGGCCGCCCAACTGACCAACAGCGGCAAACACAAGTAGTTGATCACGTACATTATGTTGGGCACGATCCAGCCGGTCACACCGATCGAGTTCGAGTTGATGCGACCAATGATTCCCTCGAGGTGCGAGCCCAGCGGCTCGTACATGTCAGCGACGAAGATCGACGAGGTCAGCACGAACAGAATTGCAAATACCAAGCAGTTCGTCACACAGCAACGCAGGTAGCGTGCCCACTTCGGCACATGAATGTTCTCCCAGACGATGTCGGACGGCGCCGGCGCCTCCTGCGCGTGCCACTTGCAGTCCCACGTGCACGCGCTTTCCGTGTCTTCGACAGCGCCGTTGAAACGGCTCTTCGGCTTCGTGATGTTGCTGCTCAGCGCATAGCTGCACGCTTCGAGCGAGGTGAACGAGACAAAAGCGACGCCAACGTTCCGCTTCGGCGGAACACTGCGCGCTTCTTCGAACTCCAAATAGTAGCTGTAACAACGCGACTCGACTTCGCGGTACTTCAACACCAACGCCTTCAGCCGTTTGCGGTCGTGCGCGGTCCTCACGTTTTTCAGCGCGAGGTCTAGTGTGTCGTTCTCCTGTTCGCAGACGCAGAGCTGACTCTCTTTGATGTGCTCCCAGATCGACTTCACGCTCTTCGGCAGCAGCAGCGGCTTTGGCTGCACCTTCAGCTCGAGACTAACCATTAAGCGGTCGATTGACTGCAGTTTGCGGTAGGCCTCCATGTTATTGATTTCTTTGTAGCACTGCTCGTATTGCTGTTTGGCTGGTTTCCGTTCTAAGTCGAAAGCGAAGCTCTCGCTGCTTAGCGCTTGCTGCGACGGCTCGGCGACCTCTTCGCCGCCGCGACACCACAGCTTCCGGCAGGCGCGGCGCAGCAGCGCGAAGTCGAGACAGGGCGCGCTTTTGAACGCGCGGATTTTCTTCTCGATCGCGTTCAGCTCCAGCACCGCCTTCTTGTACTTTTTGTACGCGTGCAGCACCGCGCTGTAATCCATGACCAAGTGGATTTGTGCGATGTCCTGCACATCAAACTTGCGCATTAGCACGTGGTAGATCTTGTCCGGCGCGGCGAGGTTTCTGTCGATCTTAGTGATTATGATGCTGCAGCGGTTCGGCATGAAGCGCATCTTGCCGTTGTACGTCGAGCGCTCTCGGCGAATGATGCTCGAGTGGAACTCGTCCGAACCCACGCGCAGGTACAGTGAACCCACGCAGTACATCACCACGAACGCCACACCGATCGTGTACACAAATATCGCCCACAAACGCGCCGTCAGGTTCGGCGAGATGTTCGTGATCACCGCGCGCTCGAAGAAGTTCAGCGCGCGCATGCTGTTGTCCGGCAACCGCACGTGAAAGCGCGAGGTGTAAATGATCGGCAGCGCCACGCACAAGGAAGACAGCGATATCGTGAAGAACAGAATTGCACACGTTTTGTGGAACAGCAAGTACAAGTAAACGTCCGTGCTCTTAAAGTCCTCGATCTGCCAGTTGTACAGCTTGCGGATCCATGCGTTGTTGCGGTAATACTCCAGCCGCGCGCCGGTCGGCGGTGTGTCAAAGTTCGCAACATCGCTCTTGTGTGCGTCTGCTTCTGTTGCGGCTGTACTTACAAGGGTGAAAGTGGTCGCCGCGGAACGGGCGGATGAACAGAAACCAGATGAGCAAGCCGATAAACACGACGATCAAGTCAAATGTTACTGCCAATTTCAGCGCACCGACTTCCAAGTCGACGGAGCTAAGTTGCTCCTTGAGCGCCATACTGTCGCAGTTGCTCGCGATCGGTTACATTAAGTATTAAGCGTTTATAATTTTAGCACATTAAAAAGCGAGCTAGCGGACGAGTCGCCATGGCCAGCAAACGCATTCAAAAAGTAAGTTACGCGCGCCGCGACGCAGGAACTCGCTGATTTCATCAAGGACCCGCCGGCAATGTGCTCAGCGGGCCCGTTGGACGACAACCTGTTTCGCTGGCGCGCGACGATCCTTGGTCCGCCGGACACGCCTTACGCTGGCGGCGTATTCCAGTTGGTCATCGAGTTCCCGACTGACTACCCATTCAAGCCGCCGAAGATCCAGTTCGTCACGAAGGTCTACCACTGCAACATCAACTCGCAGGGCCAGATCTGCCTGGACATTTTGAAAGACCAATGGAGTCCCGCGCTCACAATTTCAAAAGTGCTGCTCTCGATCACCAGCCTGCTTAACGACCCGAACCCGGATGACCCGCTGGTTACCGAAATCGCAAAGCTGTATAAAGAGAACAAAGCGGAACACGACGCTCACGCGCGCGAGACAACGTTACGGTTCGCAATTTAGAAGTATTTCATTTTTAAATATCGCGAAACTGCGCTTCGGGCGACTCGAAGAGCTGCGCCGCCTGCGACGCAGCTTCAAACTCGCCCCACACCGACTGGCTTTTAAGTGAACAGCGCCGCGCTCGGCGGCTGGGCAATCCGAAGTCAAATAGTGCATTATCGTTTTTCGTTAATTTTGCACATAAACGCACGCGGCAGATCTATCGCGCCGAGTTCGAGACATGTCCGAGGAGTTTGACGTGATCGTCTGCGGGACCGGGCTCAAGGAGTGTCTGCTCGGCGGACTGGCGTCCGCAGCGGGCTTGCGCGTGTTTCAGCTGGACGTGAACGACCACTACGGCGGCGCGGCCGCGTCTGTCAGCCTCGAGAGCCTCGTCCAGCGACACGGCGGCGCGGAGCCGTACGACGCTGCCAAGTGGGGCGCAAACAAGAACTGGAGCATTGACCTCGTGCCGAAGTTTCTGATGGCCAGCGGCAAACTCACAAAGATTCTCGCGAAAACGCGCGTCAAAAACTACATCCAGTTGCAGAGCGTGAATAGCTGCTTCGTTTACCAACCGGCGAAGGCAGGCTGGATCTCCGCAGCGCGCAACATCCACAAAGTGCCTGCCACCGAAACCGAAGTGCTGCGCAGCTCGCTGATTCCGCTGACCGACAAACTCCGCGGACGCGAATTCTTCGCGCTGATCGCGCGCTGGAAGCCGGACAACCCGGAGACCTGGGGACCCTTCCACCCCGAAAGCGACTCAATGCGACGCGTCTTCGACCACTACGCGCTAAACGACAACATCCGCGACTTCGTGGGGCACGCGATTGCGCTCCAGTCGAACGACGCCTACCTCGACCAGCCCTGCGGCCGCACTTTTTCAAGCCTGCAGCTGTACCTGCGAAGCTTGTTGACGTTCGGGCAGTCGCCCTTCATCTACCCGCTCTACGGGCTCGCAACGCTTTCTGAAGGCTTCGCGCGCATGTGCGCCGTCAACGGCGGCGTCTTCATGTTGCGCGCGCCGCTCAAAAGCATCGACGTCGACGCGGCGAACCGCTTCTGCGGCGTGACGCTCGAGTCCGGCGAAAAGTTTCTGGGCAAAACGCTAATCTGCTCGCTCGACTACTTTACGTACTTCGCACAGCCGCCCGCGGTCCGCTACGGCCAGACCGTCGCGCGTGTGATCAACGTACTCAACCACACCCTCGCCGAGACCAACGACGCCGACAGCTGCCAAATTATCTTCCCGCAAAAACAGCTGGGCCGCCAGACAGACGTCTACTGCGCCGTGCTCGGCCCGCAGTTAGAAGTTTGCCCGCGCGACAAGTGTCTGGTCAGCGTGAGCACTGTGCTCGAAACCGACGACGCGCTACAAGAGTTGCAGCCTGTGCTCAAACTCATTGAACCAATCGAACTGCAGTTCGTGCTGACCGAGCAGAGCGCAGCCCCCGCCGAAGATCTCAGCGCACGCAACATCTTCGCAGTCTCCTCCTATGACAGTTCCTCGCACTTTGAAGAAGCCACGGTCGAAATTGAAAACCTCTGGCATAAAATATCTGGAAATACCATTAATGAAACGCTGGACGCGTTGCGCGAGGTCGACCCTATGCTCTAACGCGGGCCTGCGAGCGTTGCGCGCCCTCAGTTGTTCAGCTGCATGAAGACGTTCAGCGCGCAGGAGGTCGCAGAACTGCTCAAGCTGCTGCAGCTCGAACCCCCGAAGTCGGCCGAACAGTACTCCGACGCGGACATCCGGCACGCCTACCGCGCGCAGGCGCGACGACTGCACCCCGACAAGTCCTCCGCGCCAAAGGCGAAAACTGAATTTCTGCTACTGCACGATGCGTACAATCTGCTGCGCAAGCAAAGCTCGAGAGAAAGGCTGTTCGCCGTGCTACTGCAAAACGCGACTCGCGAGTCGGCTGCAATCCGTCACCGCGACCGCAAGCAGAAGTACCTGAGCAAGTTCAAGCACGACTTGTACAAAGCAAACTGCGAGCTGCTGATCAGTGAGCACAAACGTCGCGCCGACGACGAAGAACTGCTGCGCGAAGAGCAGGGAAAGCTCGCGGAGCTGCAGCGCCAAGCGGAAAAAGAAAAACAAGAGCTAGTGCGCGAAAGCGAAGATGAACTAATTTTGCAGTGCCTGGAGGAGTACCTCCTGCGCAAAGACGCGGCGCGTAGCGGTGAGACGTAGACTTTAAAAGCGCAGCCTTTGCTCTGCGCGTGTCACCTCAGAAGTACCGTGATTTCGGACCGCCGCCAATCGGTACCGCAGAGCGTTAATATCGATTGTCCCGATTATAGCGCGATCTATATAAATATGCGATTCAAAGCTTTTTGCTCGACAATTAATTGCGATCATGCTCCGCGGAGAAAAAGAACTTCGTTTCGACTATGACTTCGCCGTCATCGGCGGCGGAAGTGGCGGACTGGCGGCCGCCAAGCGCGCAGCCTCGTTTGGCGCATCCACCGTCTGCTTCGACTTCGTCGATCCGTCGCCGCAGGGCACCAAATGGGGTTTAGGCGGGACGTGCGTAAATGTAGGTTGCATTCCGAAGAAGCTGTTTCACTTTTCCGCGCGAATTGCCTTGCTGAACCACAAAGCCGCGCGCAGCTCGGGCTGGCGCCTGCCTGAAGAGCTCGAGTTCGAATGGCCTGTGCTACAAAAAAACGTAGGGACGTACATAAAACGGCTGAACTTCTTGTACCGTTCGGGGCTCGCCAAGTCGAACGTGCGCTACATCAACGCGAAAGCCAGTTTCGTAGACGCGCACACACTGGAGTACGCGCAGGACGGGAAGCGCAACGAACTCACCGCGCGCTTCATTCTGATTGCGGTCGGAGGCCGGCCGTACATTCCGCCGAACGTAAAGGGCGCTCTGCAGCACGCGATCTCCAGCGACGACTTGTTCTGGCTCAAGCAGAGCCCTGGCAAAACTCTCGTGGTCGGCGCCTCCTACATCGCTTTAGAGTGCGCCGGGTTTTTGCTCGAGTTCGGCTTTGACGTTACCGTGTGCGTGCGCTCCATCGTGCTGCGTGGCTTTGACCGGCAGTGCAGCGAGAAAGTTCAGTCGATCATGCAGCAACTGGGCTGCAAGTTCATTCATCAGAACCTGCCGACCGAGATCAGCAAGCTGCCGGACGGCAGACTGCAAGTCACTTTCGTAGACCAAACTTCCGCAACCTACGACACCGTGCTCTACGCTACCGGCCGCGTCGGCCAACTGGAGAGCCTGGGCGTGAAGAACGCGCAGATCAAGGTCGCAGACGCGGAACGTGGAAAAATCTGGGTTGACAACCGAGACTGCACCTCTGCGCCGAGTGTCTTTGCGATCGGGGACATTGCATATCAGCGTCCCGAGCTGACGCCGACTGCCATCCGCGCGGGCGAATTGCTGGCCGACCGGCTGTTCGGCGGGAAGAAAGAACTTATGAACTACGAAACTGTCCCGACGGTCGTGTTCACACCCTTCGAGTACGGCTGCTGCGGGCTGACGGAAGAAAGCGCCATAGCCAAGTATGGAAAAGAGGAAGTGGAAGTCTATCTATCGGAGTTCGCGTCGCTCGAAGTGTCGGCGACGCACTGGAAAAGCTGCGCCCCGACGGCAAACGACGCGGACGACGACGACTTCGGCACTACCAACTTGAGCAAGCTGGTGGTCGCGAAGTCGAGCGGAAAGGTGCTCGGCTTTCACTGCGTGGGCCTCAACGCTGGCGAAACGCTGCAAGGCTACGCGCTGGCAGTGAAAATGGGAGCGACCAAGGAACAATTCGACGCGACCGTGTGCATCCACCCCACAGACGCCGAAAGCTTCCACACGCTCCACTGCACCAAGTCTTCCGGCGCTTCCTGGGTAGCCTCCTCGGGATGCGGCGGCGGCAAGTGTGGCTAGCTGCGTCGTCACGCGCCTTCTGCTGCGAAAAACGCGTCTGGCAGCGCAATGATTTTACAATTTCCTTCGTACGTACCCGTCACAAAGCTCTTGCCGTCGCGCAAGTACGTCAGACACGTCGTTGGCGAGTAGTGCGCTGTGATTCTGCCAATCTCCTCTTTCGTGACTAAGTTCAGAATGATCGTTTCGAAGGAACCTTGCGCGGAAGCGGACGTCGTCACCTCACTCGCGTCCTGTCCACCGGCTAGGATGCAGTGATAGTAGCGCTCGTCCGGGTTTTCCGCGTCCATCAGCGGATTCAGCGCGCACGCGTTCAGCGGCCGGTCCATCAAGTACTTGCCGATCAGCTCCATCGTCGTCGTGTTCCACAGCAACGCGAGTTTGTCGCGACCTACCGTGAGCATCACCGAGCGATCCTGGTTAAACGAGACGCTTTTTATGCTGTCCGAGTGCGCTTCGACGCGGTGCAGCTCTTGTCCTTGCAGCGTCGTGACAATGATCAAGCCCTCGTCCGTGCCCACAATGATGGACTGGTCCAGGGGGCCCCACTTGACGAACGTGGGGTCGGAGCCGAGGTTCCGGAACGTGGCCAGCGTCTTCCAACTGCGCGGTGCCTTGCCGAAGTGCGCGGGGCGCAAGTCTTCGCACTGCAGCATGCGCACCTCGGGCTGGTCGAGCTGCGAGGCCTTGTTTGTCAAGCCGATCGCAAGCATGTCGCACTTCTCAATGTTTTGGCAGTACTCGACACAGCGCGGCATGCTCGCCAGCTCGATGTAGTCGATCACGTTGCCCTCCGTTGCGTTCCAAATGATGATGCGGTTCAGGCGCGTCGCCGCCAACTCGGTGCAGCGCCGGTTAACGTCGAAGTCGTGAATAATGCGGCGCGACGCGGTCTCGTCCAGGCTGACTTTCAAACACTCCGCCGGGTCGAACGGGTTCGACTGCGCGTACGCGTACGTGCTCAGTCGTTCGCCGGTCGTCGAGTTCCAGACAGCTATTTGGCCGTCTCCTCCTGCTGTGAAAATCAAATCGCCATCCTCGTTTGTTTTGACCTTCGTTATCTTCGACTCTGCAGCGCGCAGCGTAATCGATTTGCTTTGAAGTTCCTTCATGAGGAGCGCCAAATCTATTTAACAATAACGAGTATTAAGCAAATTATTATCGGCCTGTTCCAGACCTGCCGCATCCCGCGCGGTGCATGCATACTTCCTGCATAATATATGAATATAAATCCGCGCCCGCTGTAAGTCGCTCGTGTCGTCGCATAGAGACATGTGCAACACTGAGTGTCGCCACTTGACGCTCGGCCCTGAGGAAGAAGCGCACCGGCTCAACGACTCGCCCTCCGGCCAGCCCGGCTACTGCATCGACGAATACTGCACTTGTGGGCTGCATCACTGTCCGCAGCAGGCTACGCCGCAAGTCGCGTTTTCCGGCAACTCCATTTTCCGCGAAGAGTACAAGTGCTACGACCTCGAGAGCTACCGCCAGAAAGGCAAACTGGACCTCGGGCTTGGCTACGACACCGACCAGGCACTAGCCGGAGTGCACGGACCCGAGCGGCCCAACATTCCGTTCACCGGCGTCTCCTCGCTGCGCAGCAACTTCCCCGGCTTCCGCCCCGAGGCCCCGGCTCCAGGGCTCCGCTTCGACCCTTCCGCGCGCAGTGCGCCCGACGACCGGATCTTCACTTCCGCGTTCCGCAAAAACTTCCCGCCGAACATTCCGCACCCGTGTCCCGCTACCCGGCTACCGCCGCCGCCGACCAACTCATCGCATAAACACGCGTTTTTCGACAGCGTTACGAAGACGTATTACTAGATTTGACGCGCTCGCGGTGCCGCGCCGGTCACTCCGCCGCGTCGGCCTGGCGAAGCAAAAAATAGTAGCACGACAGGTTTTGCGCTGGGTCGCGCAAATCCTGCAAGTGCCAGTAAAACAGCATTACATGGTCGCAGTCCGTCACGGACTTCAGTTCTTCCGGCGTGTCTACGCACAGCCGCGTCTCGTGCACGACTGCGCTCAGTTCTTCTGAGCGCCTACAGCAGTACAGAACGTCGTCGCGCACCGCAGAGACGCATACCCACGACCCGGTCTCCGCGTCTTCCACTCTCACCTCCGAACAGCCGTCTGCGTCGAACTGCATCTCCATTTTCCTTCCCATCGGAAAGTGATGCACAATCTGCCATGCCCACAACTGCTCTGCAGTTTCGACCGTTGCGCTGCCCGCGGCGCGCAACTGCCCGCAGGCTTCGGAGTTCGACACAGTCGACGCAGTTGAGCAGTCACTCGATAGCTTTACAAATTCCGCGGACTCGGCCGAAGCCGTTTTGGCCGTAGCTTTAATGTTCACCTTACTGTTCGTCTTTACCACTTTGCGGCTTTTCAAACCGCCAATGCCAAGACGTTTCAGCATCAACAGCAGCGAGCTTTGAGGCTTGTCGTGTTCTTTCCAGCAACCTTGCAGCAGACTCACCGATCGCGGCTTGCTGCGCAACAGATCGTCTGGAATTCGCCCTGAGCTTTGCAAACACTGTACATACCTTTCACAAATACATCCTCCATTGCTTTAATTTTGCCTTAGTCCCTTAACCACTCCCAAAAAATCGCACGGAGCATTGAAACTCGAAGGTACAATACCACGGCGCCTTGTTGCACCCAGCAGACTCAAGACGCTATGCGCGAGATACACTGCGGAGACTCGAGCAGGCCCATGCAGACTTGCATCAAGAGGTGAACGAGGCTTTCGTCCTGACACCGCACCACGTCTAGCTCCAAGTCTGCGCGCAGCAGCCGCTTTACGCAGTTGTAGTGCGTTTCCTCGGCTGCAGCGCTCTCGCGAGAGCTTTGTTGCGCCTCGCCAGCGGGATCCGCCACCAATACTGGCGAACGAGCTAAGTGTGTTCGCAAATTTTCCATCAACTGCTGCAAAAGTCGTTGCTGCATCACCGGAAGGCCCGCTGCAATCTTCTGTTCCGCGGCCTCGTTGCACACCGCTGAGTGCAACAGTACCAGCGCAAACACTGTCACGGATTCGACAATGGCGCTGAGTGGGAGACGCAAGGCCTTGTGCAGCACGAGCGCCTGGGATATAAACGTGTGCCAGTAGTCCGCGAAGAGCGACGAAAGCAGCGTTTGGGTGTAGCCAACGGTCCACGAGTGCTGCAGATCGAGCGCGCACACCGCCGTGTACAGCGGCTCGTCGAACAGAAAGAGCAGTGTCAACGCGACGTTCGAGGAGCATTCCAAGCGGGACTCGGTTTTCGCGCTGCCGCCTCTGCCAGCAGCCGGATCGCCAAACCAGTCTGGCCGCTTTGCCACCGCGAACTCGCTCGCGAGCGCGCGCATCAGGTTCGAGTAGATCATCGCGATGTCTAGCAGCGACGCGTCCTCGCCGGCGCGCAGCCGAAAGATGAGGCTCGCGAACCCCTGGCGGTACTCCAGCACGCTCGCGTGGTTGTACAACATAATGCATATGAAGAAGGCAGCAGTAGCCCGATTCGCAGGCTTGGGACACGAAAGTCGGAAAAAGTCTCTGCAAATCATGTTCAGCGTTGCGTTCGCCGACGCAGCGCGACCGAGGCGAAGCGTGTTTTCGACCACCGTGCTGTACTTTCTGATGACGGGGCGGATGGCTTTTGTTAGCTGTGTTGCGGCGCTGGGCGACAGATCGAAGAGCAGCCGCCACTTCGTGAGTTCCGCCTGCTTTAAACTCATCGCGGCTGCACGGCACGGGCGCGATCAGAAATCCGCTTCCGCAAATTATGAATTAGAACTATTATTCGTCAATGTCGCTGCTAATATATCGAAAGTTTTGCACTTCGCC